CCTCCAGACTGGCAAAACTCCACAGCTCAGCCCGCCTTTTTCTTCACCCTCTCTGTTTATTCCCCAGCCACCAGAGCAGTCCTCTGTACGGTCCCTGGCTAGCAGGGCTGATTTTTAGGTTTATTCTTAGGTCCTACCACCACTCGGGAATCTCCAAGCTGTCTGTGCTGTGCTGTCAGGATCACTCAGGATCACTGCCAGACCGCAGCTCCTTTTTTGGTATTTTCATGCAAATTCTTCTGGTAGTTGGCGTTTAGTCCACTTCTATATCCTTCCCTTCAAGGCTCAGGGGTCCAGAATTATCTTTTGTGTCTGTGTTAATTGGTTTCCTTTTTCTTTGTTGAAGAGGGCCTGTGTAGTCTTTCTGCCTAGTCTGCCATCTTACCAGAACTCACCCATGGAATCTTTCAGTATTGCAACTCGAGGCTTAAATTTTTTTCCTCAGTTCTTTCAGCTTATGAAATGCTGAGCATATTCTTCCCTTTTGGTTTTCTAACTCCAGATCTTTGCACATTTCATTATAATAATTGACTTTGTCTTCTTGAGTTGCTCTTTGAAATCTTCTCATTTCAAAGGATTTTAGTTCTCTCTAAATAAACCAGAGCCAGGTGTTTTAGTATGTATCTGACTGTTCATCATGGCAGAAACCCAGGGCTTTTTCTGCCTTGCTGATCCACCAAACTCAGCAAGTGACTTTTACTTCATGATCCAAGATAGCTGCTTGCACCCCAGCCTTCTCACCTATGTTCTCGCTAGTAGGAGGGAGGAAAGGTTGAAAATATGAGTTCCCTTTCCCTTTAAGGAAACTTACTTAAAGTTGCTCATGACATTTTGGCTTATGTACATTATGTGGCACTTAGTCACAGAGACACACCTAGGTGTTAGGGAAGTGGAGAATCATCCTCTTAGTTCTGGACAGCCACATGCCCAGATAAAAGTTAGAGATTCCAATGTTAGGGAGAAGGGGGAATGAATATAGAGGACAACAAAGTGTCCCTACACAGTGGGAAAGGATACGAACAGAAAATGGATTCAGTGGCTTGGCACATGGTTGTCTGATTGACTGGAATAGAGACTATGCATTTAAATACACAGAGAAATGGGGCAGAGTCGTAAAAATACTCAAGCAGTTCATAAATCAAACCAAACTCACTACTATCGAGTCAGTTCCAAATTGTTGTGACTCTGTAGGACAGAGCAGAACTGCCCCATAACGTTTCCAAGGCTGTAAATCTTTACGGAAGCAGACTGCCTCATCTTTCTCCTGCGGAGCCGCTGGTGGGGTCTAGCCACCGACCTTTTGGTTAACGGCATGAGGGCATAATAAACAGTATTTGGAAATTTCAATTTGGTATGATTAGGAACTAGGAACCATTGTAGACTTTGGAGAACAGAAGGAATGTTTAGCTTAGTCACAGAATTACGCTTTCTTATTACTCAAAACAGCTGTAGGTGGAAGATAATACTTAATGCTTTATGTAGAAATGAAGGAGATGCGAATTGGAAGGAAGCTTTGTAAGAGACAGTTGTTTCATTGCAGGCTTCTAGGGCCTGCTTGGAGGTGGTGGAAATGAGGGCAAAGCAGTGCTTAAAGGCTGACTACGGAGAAAGAAATGGTATCAGGGGTGATGTATTGGAGAAGAAAGAAAGAAATTGAAAAGGACTAACGTTTTGAGTTAGAAAAAGTGCAGGGAAGTGATGGTATCACACAGGTAAATTTCCATCAGAAGGAATTTAAAGACGTCTCTAAATTATTTAGTTGTAATGAAATGTAAAATTGAATACATTGCTAGAAATCTGATCCCCAGGCTTCAGGATCTTGAGCAGAAACAGCTGTGCCTAGCTTCTTTGTGCTAAATTAGCAAGGGAAAAGAGATTCTTCCAAGAGGTGTTAGGCACACAGCACCACTTCTACTCTTTTCTTTCTATTCCTGGATACTTTGCTCACGTTTTAGTCTGATAGATAGCTCGGGTGGTTTTTGTTTAGATGATTTTGATGTTTAAAGGAAGAGATGAGCTGAAGAATAATTGCTGCTTGGTGGCAAGACAGAAAACTATAAAAAGCACAGCTTCCCTGAGTTATGCCTATCTGAGTTGAGTCTTGTCTTTAGAGACAAGTACTGTTATAACAACAATCACCAGAGATAGTGCTAACCTCCAGACCAGCATGTGTTGCCTTCTTGGTCATTTGATCTTCAAAGAGCCCTTGGGAGTAATAGCAGTCTCTCCGGTCTCAGAGAAGAATTACTCTGGTGTGTGTTAGAGGTAATAGCGTTCTTCATCAAGGAAATATTTTTGTACAAATAGTGTATGATTACTATTGAACTAAATATTACATTGCAAGTGTGTGATCACTATTGAACCAAATATTATGTTGCAAAGCAATCGGCATGCTTTTATAATCAAAGACACTAATGTTGATATTGCTGCTTCCTGAACTTTATAGTTGCCTGTCTTATCACCTGTAGACTAGGTGGCAGGGTTTATGGTATAAATTGTGACTGCTGTTCAAACACTAGGAGCTCTGGTAGCATAGTGCGTAAGGCACCTGACTGCTGTCCAGAAGGCTGGCGGTTCAAACCCACCAGCCACTACTTCCGTAGTGATACTGCCTCGGAAACCCAAGTAGGGGTTGCTATGAGTCGGGTCTGACTCGACTGCAGTGCATTATTGTTGTTGCTAAAATACTGATATTGATTTCTACTGTTGATTTTTTTTAAATTTAGGAATAAACAAAGTTAGAAGAAAAAATAACAATAAGTTTTATCCCAACTTCTGCAAATCATCTACTACTAACAGCTTAGAATATTTGGCTTCCAGAATACTAATTATTATTTTTTGATTTTAGAAAAATCACTCTATTGTTTTTGTAAAAACAGTACAGACTCATTATTGCTCAGATAATTTCTTTTAGAAGGATCAGCACAAGGCTCGTCTCTGTGAAAACCGAAGGCAGAGGGCAAGGATGTCGCACATGTCCACCTTTTCCAAACTGCTGGGCCGCGGCATTGTCTCTGCCATCAGCTCCTCCCCCTCCCCTCAGTGCTCCCCTCCTCTCTTAGGGTTCCGTATTTCTCTTTAATGTCTCAGAATTCACAGACTGCCAAGGAAGTGGCTCATGTGGTGGTGGAGGCTGGCAGGTTGGCACGTCCCAAGTCTGTGGGTACATCTAGAGGATTCTCCCCATTCACATGGTTGCAGGGGCTGGCGAAGCCAAATCGGCGGGTCAGTTGACCAGCTGCTGTCTCACGTCCAAGGGTGAGATGATGAGGAACTAAACGCAGGACCAGAGCAAGAGAGAGAACTTTTCCAGAACATTCACATCTATGCCCTCAAGGAACTAAGGGTGATGACTTGAGTCACACCTTCCAGCAAGGCAGGACTCAAGAGACAGGACTCAAGATGTCAAGAGACATCCCACCCTAAACAGGCACAGAGACTAGGGTTTACAGTACATCACAAAATGGAAGACAGTGCCTAGAAGGGCTATATCAAGCAATTCACTGCACTGCAGTTATGAAGAGTCAACCAATCCTAATCCCATTACTCAGAGTAACCACCATTAATAGTAGTCAGTTTGTTGCTGTCCAGTCCTACTCGTGGTGACTGTGTGCACCAGGGTGAAATGCCGTCCAGTCCCGTGCCGTCTTCGTGACAACTGGTACGTCTGAGTCCCTTGCTGTGGCTATGATGTGAATCCATCTAATTAAGGGTTTCCCTCGTCTTCATTGGTCTTTTGCTTTATGAAACATGATGGTTTTTTTTGGTGAATGGTCTTTCCTGATGATGCTTCTAAAGTAAGGGAGTCGAAGTCTTGTTGTCTTTGCTTCTAAGGAGTATTACGGTTGTATTTCTTCTCAGACTGATTTGTTCATTCTTCTAGCATTGTTAGAGTCTGATAGTTTGAATGTCAGTTTGATGTCTCATCTAAGAAATGTCACAGGGCTTCCAGTTCTACTTTTGTGGTATTATCTGAGTAGTACGGGTTCAACGAGATCTACAGCTCCTCTTAGATAAGTTTCTACAGAGTACCACCAGCCTGGGTATCGACGCGTCATCATCAGATGACTCGGGCATCATTTCCTACAGCATCTTCCCTGTTGCCTTTGAGGTTTCCCATTCACATACTAGTCCTCCTTGGTGTATGACTTCACAGTCTCAA